CAGTGTTTCTCTGTGTGTACCGTGAGGACGTGGTTGTGTGTTATAATGTGTATGTCTCTGTGAGTACACGTGGTGTCTGTGTGTGGTATTGTGGTTATTGTGTCCGGAGTACAGTGTAATGTCTCTGGTATTATCCTGAGGATGTGTGTCTGTGTGTATGTTGTGTCTCTGTATCTGTGTGTTGTGTGATGTGTGTGTGTATCTCTGTGAGTACATGTGTAGTCCTCCTGAGGACGTGGTGTTATGTGTGTGTCTCTGTGAGTACACATGCCGTGTATGTGTGTCGAGTACACTGTGTTACGTGGTGTCCTGTGAGTACACTGTGTGTGCTGTGTGCTCTGTGAGTACACGTGTGTCGTGTTGAGACACATTGTGCCGTGTGGAGTACACACTGTTGTGCTGTGTAGTAAGGTTTGCGTGAGTACACGTTCCTTAAGCCTTTGTCTCTGTTAACGTGTGATGTCTGGATCACGTGTGTGTCGTGTGTGAGTACACTGTGTGTCTTGTGGTGAGTAGTGTGTGCCGATGTGTGTGAGTGCAGCGTGTGTGTGCAGTGTGTGAGTACACATGTGTGTCTCTGTGTGATACACGTTGTCCGTTGTGAGTCACGTGTGTGTCTAGTGTGTAACACGTGTTGTCGTGTGGTGAGTAACGTGTGTCCGTGTGAACCGTGTTGTGTGTGAGTACATGGGTCGTGTGTGTGCACGTGTGTTCGTGTGTGTGTGTGTCGGACAGTGCGACGCGCCCTGCTCCTTGGGTGGCGGCACGGGACACCGCGGGCAGGGGTCGCAGGCGCAGCCTCGGAGGGAGGGTGCCCGCAGTCGGCTGCTGGAAGAGGGCGCTCTGGAGGCATGAAAGAGCCAGCCAGAGCAGGGACTGGGAATAAGACTGGAGCCGGAAGGGCCTCAGGCATGCTCGCTCAGTTTTCTGCGGACTCCACCACCTGCCACAGGTCCATGCTAACCCAAGGATGGGTTACTAGGCTGTACTAGTATTTACTTCACGGTTTTTTTAAATAGATTTCCTTCTTCGAAATACATTTACTTTAAAGGAAACTTTACGTCCAGCAGTAAGTGAAAACCAGGATCCCCTAACTTAAAATAACAAGGCCAACAACAGACGGTGACGTCTCTGCCACCCCGCCGCCCGGGGGCGCCGTGACAGCCTGTCCCGTGGCCGGGGGGTGACAGCGAGGGCCAGCGCGGCTCCAGACAGAGGCCCAGCCCACAGACGAGAGTGGGGCAATCGCATTTTGCGTTGGTGCAGTGCCACCGTCCTGAAGCAACCTGGCAACGCCTGCGCCTCGGGCTGCGCTCTGGCCAGCGAGCCGCGGTCCACAGCCGGGAAGTTCAGCAGCGGCCCTGGCATCGCTGGACGGGGCAGCGGGGGTCGCCCAGGTTCTCCCACTCTCGAAGCGGCTTTACAAATAGCTCAAGTGCGTCCAGAACAACTACAATCTGTTCATCAAAAACCATCCCTCCCCACTGGCCCTCCTCTCTCCTGAGTCCCCAGAGATCCCAGGCTGGAGCAGAGGAGGTGCCTTCAGCTTCTCCGCTCCTTCACCAGAGTCTGGTCTAATCGACTCACGGCGCCACAATGCCGAAGGCGTTTATCATCCTCTAGTGCTCTCCTTAATAGCAAGAAGAGCAAGGACTAGGTTCGGGCCCAGGGTGTGCCACTCTCGCAAGCTGTAAGTGCTACCCCCAACTTTGAGCCTCAGTTTCCATATCTATAAAATGGGAATCATTGTCCCACTTCTCCAGGTGATTCTGGCTGAGGATTTGCAAACTGCAGAGCACGTGGCAAGGTGGGCTGGGATTACTGTGTTCTGGCCCCGGCGCCTTTCACCCCCAGACACCTGGCCCAGACAGGAGGACGCAGCGCTGCAACCACCGATTTCCTTACCGTCTTTCTTTTATGTTCAGACCTCCTTAGACTGAGAGGCCCTCCACTTCTCCTGAGGAATGAGACAGAGACCAAGTGTTCAGCTTTGACACGGGACAGCAGGTGGGATTTTCTTCCCTGCCTCACCAAGATTGAACTCGTGCTTCTTCCTGGGTCCGAGTGTGCTCGCTGCGGGACGGTTAAGTAAACCATGAAGATGGGCTGTCCTTGGGACTCTCTGACCCCCAAGCCTGACCTGCCTTCCCATTCCATTTCCCTGCACTGGAGGTCCCTTTCCCGAGGCACCGTGACACTCGGCTGGTGATGGCATCCCTGCTGGGACCCCACCCAGCCTCTCAGGCCTTCTGTGGCCACGTCCACCCCTGGAACCAGACCTCCCCGACCCGATCGCTCGCGTATTCACCGCTTGCTGGGTCAGAGCCTCTCCTTCGCAGTCCTAGAAAGAGAAGCTCAAATTAGTGTCCAGGCCAGCTTGGGGCTGTGCCTCCACCACAGGGAGCATAGAGGTGACCTAAAGAAATGCCCCGTCCAACTCTCCAGCCCTAGGGATCATGCCATCCATCCATGCACGGCTGGCTGGACCCCTGCCTCTTCCCTGTCCGACTCCCTGCCTTGTGAGGGCCACCGCCTGCTTGCGCGCTGGGCCAGAGCCCAGCCAGGCACCCTGGCGTCGCTGCCCCTCGGGGAGAGGGACGGCCAGACCTGGGCCAACACTGACACCCATGGCCCCTCTCCCCGCGCTGGACATCCACCCGCTTCCCCCGAGGGCACAATCTCCAGGGGCATCTGCACAGGAGGGAAATCAGTCATGTCACATCCGTGATGGTTGGGCGGGGAGAAGCTACACTTCAGGGCAGGCGGATCCTGCTTGGAGCCTCCCCTCGCTCTGGACAGGCCGGGCGGGACTGCGCAGGCCGGGCGGGACTGCGGCAGGCTGCGAGGTTCGGGCCGCGCCTAAAGGGGCAGCCACCAGCACCACCCACGGAAACCTGCTATGGGAACGCCTGACCTCACAGGTCTTCCGAGTTCCCACAGAAACTGGATTTAACGTAAACTTGCTCATTCAAAAAAAAAGTTGGCAACTCTTATATTCCACAAATCAGAGATGCCATCGTTTGTGAGGCGCAACATTATTTTATGTGCTGCTACGCAAGAAAATCCTGCCACTTGTGGCTGTAAGTTGCTAGTGATTCTAAGAGCATCCTGGTTTCAGAGATGTCCAAATGTGAAAAAATGTAGAATTGATGAATATATTCACAATCTAATTTTTACAGAACACTCTGAGCCAGGTAAAACGCATCCGCACACACAGGCCACCAATTTGCAATGTCCCTGCTTCAAGGCTATCCACGCAGGTGGTGACATCTGGCCACGTGGCTCCAGGCTCTGAGTGGGTGGAGCCAAGATGAGCTGGGCCCGGAGCTGAGCTGCGGCCCCACACCGCCAGCCACTTGTCTGGGCTGCCGAGGGAGTTGAGCCCCATAGCGCTGCCCTGGCTGCAGCTTCCCGGTTATTAATAGTCCCATCCTGGGCGGCCTCACCACCAGGTCCCTGGTGACCTCTCCCTACCCCGTCCTCTTCTCCCCCTCAAGGGCAGCCGGACCCTGTGTGGTCTCCCTCCCCCCCGCCTGCATCCTGTACATTCCTGTCCTTCAGGGCAGCCCTGGGACACAGCTGAGCACAGGCCAACAAGCACTCAGCACACTGAACCGTTCTGAGGGCTAATGGACAAACAGGGGCACCGTCTGCGAAGTACCAGAGAGAGCTGATACCGGGAGTGGCAGAGAATGTGCCGAAAGTAACATGAAACGAGACTCGAACAATGCAATTCACCGAGCACCTTCAATTTCTTGGTAGGGGCAGAGTCATTCACAAGTAGGTGAATATAGCTACATTTTCTACAGTGAATATGAATTACTTTTTTTAAATTTTTTTTTTTTTTGAGACAGAGTCTTGCTTGCTGCCCAGGCTAGAGTGAGTGCCGCAACCTCAAACTCCTGGGCTCAAGCATCAAACAATCCTCCTGCCTCAGCCTCCCGAGTAGCTGGGACTACAGGCATGCACCACCATGCCCGGCTAATTTTTTCTATATATATTAGTTGGTCAATTAATTTCTTTCTATTTATAGTAGAGACAGGGTCTCGCTCTTGCTCAGGCTGGTTTCGAACTCCTGACCTCGAGCAATCTGCCCGCCTCAGCCTCCCAGAGTGCTAGCATTACAGGCGTGAGCCACATCGCCCAGCCTAAATTACTTTTATGATAAGAAAAGTATTTTCAAATACGTGTAAACATAACACGCTCTTATTTTACACCCAGTGAAAATTTTCTTAAACTACTTGAGTAATTTAGGCATTTTTCTAAACTAAGCAACAATTATTTTTGTTAAAAAGAGAGAAAAAAATTCAGATAAGCAAATAAAACACTATGAAGATTACCCACCTAACATATCAGTCTTTTTTCTTTGAAGGTATACGTAAGCATTTTTACTGTTTTCCTGGGGTTATTACCAGGCGGTAGGAGACTACATAGATTTTGGAAATGTTGGATTACCTGGTGCATTTGCCAGGCTCATTGGCAAATTGGTTTATGCCTAAAAATTCTCCCATTTCATCCTAGTGCTTCAAAGTGCTGCATTATCTATACTTCCCCCTGTAGGAATCAGGGTGCTTGGAAACACTTATTTCATAAAATAGGTATCGTAGAGACAGAGCCTTACTTTTTCCTTGCACATGTAAGCAGCCCAGTATTCCAAGAGAAGGGGCTACTGATCATGTCCCATTTTGCTGGTGGCGAAGCTGAGGCCCAGAAAGGTTGGGTGACTTGTCAAGGTAACCCACAAGTCAAGGTGACCCACAAGTCAAGGTCATAGCTCAGAAGAGAATACAGGGTTTCCTTGAAACAGTCTCCTCATGGTGGAAATGCCCCATCCCCATCTGCCAGCATTATAACCACTCAGCTTGCCACGTCTCCTGTATTTGCCTGGGACTTTTCAGCTCACGGAACACCCCCATGACCTGTTTCTGCCCAACGAAGCCCTAACCCTCATGTCCTTAGTGTAACTCTGTTTTCTCCAAAGCTGTTGCACGACCAATTACCTGCATAGAGTTGAAGTTCATCCTTCAAAACATCAGGCTCCCCTTGTGTAGCACCTGGACGGAGACAAACCCATCGGTCAGCTCTCCCCAGCCACAGCGACCCCGGGCCACGCCCATCCTCATGGTCTGGAGCCCCAACAAGTACCACAGTCCTTGTGCTGGGCGGTGGAAGGTCTTCAAGAGACAGAACAGCCTTACGAGTGCTTTCCTTTACACCGTCCGAGACCGCCCGCCCTGGCACCTCTAGCAGTGACCATGCTCAGCTTACTAGAAAGGAGTTGGGACCTGCGAGGACCGGGGCCTGGCTCAAGGTCAATGATAGTTATCATTTATTGAGCACTTACTATGTACCAACACCATACTAAGTAATTTACATTTAATATTTCATTTGCTCCTCATAGAAGTCCTCTGAGGAAGGTATTAGTACCTAACCCCACCCATTATACAGATAAGGAAATGGAGGCTCAAAAAGTTATTTTCCCAAAGTCACATAGCTAGTAAGTGGCAAATCTACCAGGTCTGTTGCCGAAGACTGCATTCCTAATCTTTTTTTTTTTTTTTTTTGAGACAGAGTCTCGCTCTGTCACCTGGTTAGAGTGCAGTGGTGTCATTGTAGCTCATTGTAACCTCAAAATCCTGGGCTCAATATATCTTTCCACCTCGGCCTCCCAGAGTGCTAGGATTATAGGTGTGAATGCCTTGCCCGGCCCCCAGTTATTTGATGTCCAGGAATAGAGCCCAGAGCTCAGTCCCGGCTTCACGTGCAGTGTTTATTAATCGCCTCATGTGCACCAGGTTCTGTAGTTGGCATTGATTCAAGTTCTTTGCCACATGCTCTTTCCCACAAAATTTGTGGTTTATTTTCTTGCAAAAATTATTTCCTTCTGGTTGTAAAAATAGGACTTGTTCACTGTAAATTATGTGTAGTATAGGATACTTTAAAAAAGAGAAAATAAAAATCATTCATTATTCTACCATCCAGTGATAACTACTAGTAACATATTGGTATTTTTTTCCTTCCATGTTTTATAACCATGTATGTGTGAATTTTTACAAAGTATATATGAGATTGAATTAATTATACAATTTGGCATCTTTCTTTTTCACCCTAGAGACAGATGAAGAACAGAGCTAACGGCAGGTCAGGGAGTAGCATCCTCTATCTATTTTGCTGTTGCTACTTCCTATTTTTACCCTACATAAGCAATGCTGTGAAGAACACCTTCACGCAGCGGGCTCAGCCCCGCGGGAGAGGGAGAGCGGTGAGGCCGGCGCCTACCGGGGGAGGGGCCGCCATGCGGGCGTCGGGCCGCCAGGCTCCGTCGACGCTTTCCAGTTCCTTTGGGGTGCTTGTCCTCATCGCCGCTCTCTGCAGGGAAGAAACACAAGCTGTAGGAGGACTGCAGCCTGGGACAAGCCTGGACTCCGTTCACTGCCGGAAGGGTCTCTGCTTTGGGGATGGGGAGGTAGGAGACCTGCCACTAACTTTCTGCGTGAGCTTGGACAAATCGCTTAATAGCTCTGTTGGTTCCATGCCTACTTAGTATTTCTGTAGCTGCCCTGCCCACTTCATAAGGCTTTCGGGAAGGTGAGACAAGGTCCCGTGAGGTGTCATGTTCCTGAGGTGCTTTCCATCCACCAAGCGCAGGGGCTGTGTCACCCGTTTCCCCGTGTCACGCTGACTCTGCTGTTTGCTGTGTCTTCCGTCCACCTCGAGTGTCCTTCCCATGTGTCTCTCTTCTCCTGGAGGTTAAGCTGAGGTCACTCCTCCTGTAGAAAGCCTTTCCCACTGCCCAGTTCCCATTGATCTTGCCTTTCCCTTCTTGAATTTTTCTTTTTTTCCTTTGTTAGTCAGTCCCATCAGGACTGCCAAAAATTGCCAATGCCGACTATATTGCAAGTCGTCATGGCGGGGTATTGGGAAAAGTTTTCAATTAGCAACAATCACACCTTGGATAAACCTCATTGACTTGGACACTGCCACTGCGCAAAGCTGCCCTTCTGGAGTTCCATGGCACCAGCTGTCGGTCCTTGACTCAGGACGTGAGCGCCAGTGGTCTCACGATCTCGCTTTACCGGCGATCTTGGTCTCCCGAAGGACATGGCTTGGGTCCTCCACCTCTCAGCCTGGAGTAGGAGCTTGACTGGAACTTGGAGAATGACTGAGCCATTTGTGCTGCCGGCCAGTTGGCATTCCAAGAACTCAGGCCTAGGAGCTTCTGGCTCCACATCCAGGGGACCCGCCTCTCCTCAGGACGGCCAAGATGGCCCAGCAGTGCCGAGTCTTCCTCAGTATGCTTGGAGACCTCATGCTCACTCACAGATAAATAAAAGAAGCACATCAAAATAACACCGGTGGTATTATTTCAGTAGAGAGGATCTGCGGTGACTTCTGTCTCCTTCGCTCAAGCAATCCTCCTGCCTCAGCCTCGAGTAGCTGGGGACTACAGGCATGTGCCACCATGCTCCTGGCTAATTTTTCTATATATTTTTAGTTGGCCAATTAATTTCTTTCTATGTTTGGTAGAAGACGGGTCTCGCTCTTGCTCAGCTGGTCGTCGAACTCCTGAGGCTCGAGCAATCTCCCACCTTGGGCCTCCCAGAGGCTAGGATTACAGGCGTGAGCACCGCCGCCGGCCCTTGGAGAAACTTTTTGGTTGTCCAACTGAGGGGGCAGAATGCATCGGGGGGGGTGTGGGCATTCTCACAATGCGCCACAACAGCAAAGAGCTGAGGCGTTCCCCCGAGTAAGCGCTGGCAGTGTTGGTCGGGAGAAACGCTGGAGTGGGCTGGAGTCGGAATCGCCGCCCTCCCGCCTCTCGGGTTGGCGCGCCTCAGAGCAGGAGCGGGGAAAAATTAGGGGCAGGGCAGGTGGGCGGACTCGCTAGCTGCTCCGGCGCAGGTGGAGAAAGAGTTCTCACACAAAGACTAAGATATAAAAAAGTAAAAAGTTTTATTTACTTTCCCGGAGAAGGAAGAAAGAAAGAGAGAGGGAGAAAAGAAGAGAAAGAGAGGCAAGAAGGGGAGGTGGCATGGCGCCGAGGAAAGTGGGGGCGATGCAGCCAGCTGAGGAAGCGCGGCTCAGGCTTTAGAGGGGCAAATGGCTCTTTCTTGGCTTTGCTGCAGACTGATAATGGGGAGGCAGCTGGCACTGTTTCTAGTTTTTTCTCTCTCTCTTTTTTTCCCTTTTCTCTGTGAGGCAGCTTATCAGAGTCCTTGGGATGGTGTCCTGAGGAGAACCGCAGCAGGGAGCTCACACCGCTGCTGTCTGCTGAGGGCTCTTCAAGGTGGGGAAAATGGAACCCTAGAGATGACTAGTTGATCTTAAAGGCAAGTTAAGTCCCAGCTGGTTTTCATCAAGCAAAACAAAAGGCAGTTGTGTGTGAGTTACTGGCCTCTCATTTCTGTGTGATAGTTATCTTTCTCTGTTAGCTAGTTTTACAAGGTCGTCCTTTTAGGGCAAGAATCAAAATGAAGCTGCACCTCTTGGCTAAGCTACTATAACAGAGACTCAAAAGACGGGGCTGCCGGCGCGGTGGCTCACGCCTGTAATCCTAGCTCTCTGGGAGGCGAGGCAGGTGGATTGCTCGAGGTCAGGAGTTCGAAACCAGCCTGAGCAAGAGCAGACCCCCCATCTCTACTATAAATAGAAAGAAATTAATTGGCCAACCTAATATATATAGAAAAAATTAGCGGGCATGGGTGGCGAATGCCTGTAGTCCCAGCTACTTGGGAGGCTGAGGCAGGAGGATTTGCTTTGAGCCAGGGAGTTTGAGGGTTGCTGTGGAACTAGACTGACACCCGGCACTCACTCTAGGCCTGGGCAACAAAGCGAGACTCTGTCTCAAAAAAAAAAAAAAAAAAAAAAAAAAGACAGGAGCTGCAATAAAAGAGGAGTTTATTTCCTGTGCACCTAGCAGTCCCTCGGTACGCAGGTCCAGGTGGGCAAGCGGCTCTGTGAATGAGGCCTTGTGGGGACCAGGCTCCTTTGTTTTTGTTTTGCCAGCCATGCCCTAGGT